GCAGCCACAGCGGGGGGGCAGCCGGCTCCAGTGTGCGGGGCTTCTCTGCTGTGCTTGGTGAGTTTAGGGGTTGCGCATGAGTGGCAGGGACTGCCAGCAATAGTCTGCCCGGCAGACACTGCGCTCCTCACTGTGATGTGCAGCGCTGGGCAGAGCCATGCTCCGCCAGATGACTGTGCCCTGAGCTCTGCATCTGCTGCTGCTGCCACTGCCTGGCAGGGCTGTGTGCCATGGGGGGGTGGGAGGGAGAGGAGTGTCGGGGGTCCCCTCACCCTCACACCCATACGCTGCCCACCTAAGCTCCATACTGCTACCACTCCCTGGGCACAGGCTCCATGCTGCTGCCAGCCCTGTGCTCTGCACTTCTGCTCAGCTGCAGCCCTGCCTTCGCCGCTTCCATACTTGCTGCTTGGAGCCAGCAGGAGCCCAGGGAGGCAGAGCAGGTCCCCAAGGGCCGCAGCATGGGCAGCAGTAGCCCCACCTGGAAACTGTGGTGGCCAAGCTGGGCCCTTCTGCCCACAAGGGTGGGAGCAAAGCACAATACGGTATGTCTGGGGATTGTGCACATGGGCGCCTTGCTCCCACCCTCATGGGTGGGAGGGTTGGGCACAATTTGTTGGCGGGTGCCACGGGCGGATGAAAGTGCTTGGTGGGCCACATTTGACCCATGGGTCGTATTTTGCCAGCCCCTGCTGTAGACTGTAGCTCTGTCTCTTTCCTGGACCTCTCTGACACACTTCTAGATATACTCTGTTGCCCCTTCAGAGAACTGAAACCAGTTGTCCCAGCTGCCCTAGTCCCTCAGGATCTATACTGACTCTCCAGATTCCTCATTGGCTTAGGACCTTCAAGAAAGGATGTGCTTATCTCATGGGTCTCTAGATGTACAATTCGTATCTTCAAGGACATAAGATGGTTAAAACTTCAGACTCCAAACCTTATAAGGGATCTAAACACCGTCAATCTTTAACTAGTACAAGAGACATGGCTCTAGACAAAATAATAAATATATCTATATGCAGTTCTCTGCTTCAGTTTCCTCCCATTCTGTTCTTTTGGTGTCAATTAGATTTTTCTAAGGAGTCCAGAATCTTCCTTCCTGCCCATGGCTTTCTTTCCCTTTCTGTCTGTCTCTCTGTACCGCCACCCCCAGGCTTAGCTGGCTGCATATTTCATATGTAACTTAGCTGCAGTCCTACCCTTACCCCCAGTCTCTACTATGTAGTCCCCCGTCAGGTCTTTCTGTATTTCCTTATACTTTGAACTTTGTCATTTGAACTGTAATGTTTTCTAATAAATTAAATCAGCACACAGTGACTTTCTTCTTTGGCAGGTTTTATAGTTAAATGGCACTCTCTTGCACACTATGATTCCTTTGCCTGTGAATCCCTTCCCCAACTTTTCAACCTACATCTTTTTAAAAGGCAGCACAACACCTGGTTTCTTTGTTCAGACTCTAAGGAAACTCTCATACTCTATACCCCAGATCCTGCAGAAAAAAATTGGTAAAAACTAGTTTCCTTAGACTTCAGCCTTCCCATTATCCCAAGGCAGTTCTGTTGGAACAAGGGCCATTCAGGTTAACAGCTTTCCATTATTAGCCCTCTGTTACCCCTTTCAGGAATTTCCATTCAACCCAGCGATAGAAAGACAATAGTGAAGACCGACAGCCTTGTATTCAAAATAGAGTTTTCAGATGACACACAGGGACCCTAATGTCAAACAGACCTCATAAGCTGCTCATAAACAGATTCCACAGATTGCCAGACTTGGGTCTATGTGGGTATTTCACTTGCTGCAAAATATTTGTATGGGCATACTATGTGATTTTCTTTCTTACTGTGATTTTCTGGGCCAGACTAAATCCCAGTGTCACTCTGATAATTTGGAGTTGCACATGGGATGAATTTGGCCCCCTTTGTACATTTTTACTATGATTGATCACAGCTTTCCTAAAAATAGATCATGCCAGAAGACCAGCCACAAACATCACCATTTGAAACTCTACAGAAGTTCTCATTCCCTATAAATTGAAAAATGAGTCTCACATAAAATGCTTTGTTCTTCAACCTCACACTAACTTTTCATTAACATGGTATAACTCTCAGGCTATTAGGAAGATGCCAGTTACAACAGAATGGATTGAGGTATTTGACTATGGAAAACAACAACATCTTTCCAAATGAAATATCAAACTCATTGCTCTCATTTTCTTTTGGTACCTGTTGTCTGCCACTGAAGTATCAAATTGTTTTAAACTCAAAACATTTTAAACTCAGATTTAGCTTTACATCTTTACAAATCTGGTGGTGTTGTCACATTTCTTTCGGAAATTTGAAAATACCTTTTCATTAAAGAATGAGTAACATGGAAACTCGCTTTTACCTAACCTCCTTCTCTAACCAATTCTGAAACAAATCAATCTTGAAAACACACACGAAGAGTAAATTAATTACATTTATCTGTCTCCTTCCCTATGCAGAATGTTTTTATCTCCAAAAAGGGAAATTGTCAAGTAGAGGGAAACAGGGGGAAGAGACCAGGAACAAAGGTCCGGGGGGGGGGGGGGGGGGGGGG